CAAAGAGTTTACCCTCCAAAGCTGGCATTCCCCCCCGGGGGTGGGGGGCTGATCTCTGTATTTTGGCAATCAGTTATAATCCTGGGAGATCTCCAGGCCCCACCTGGAGGCTGGCAACCCTGTTAGGCATCAGTTTTGCTCCGCTGTGTCACTGGGGGGGGGGGGGATAATCAGTGTCTTTAAGTACCAGGGGAAATGTGGCAAACTGGAGTTCTGTTGCTTGAGATTTTAGGTGGTTGGGGGGGGGTGAAGAGCCTTAATTTGGTCTGTAAGTGAAAAAGGTCCTTGTGTGTGTGTGGGGGGGGGTAACTCCTGCGTGAATGGGAATCAACTGCAGCCCCATCCTAAGACCCTAAGACGCAGTGGCAGTGTGGCCGGGGCTGCTAGTGGGTATCCAAGGCCCCCCAGCAGAGGAGAGGGGATTTAAAAGAAAAAGAAAAAAGAAATCAGTTGCCAAGGTGGTGTTCATGGAAACACCACCAGTGCCCATTGAGTCCACAGCACAAGGCAACTCCACCGTGACAGGCAGAGAGCCATGCCCCCCCCCCCATCAGCCTGCCCACCTCCAGAAGGCCAGGGCACCTGGAAACACATCACACATCAAAGGGCACCTGGAAACGCATCACCGTGAGGATCCTGGCCTCACCGACAGGACCCCTCTTGTAGGAACATCAGAAGAGCCCTCCTGAAGAGCCCTCCTGTCTCCCACAGTGGCCAAGCCAGTTCCTCTGGACGGCCAACAACAGGGCAAAGAGGTCTTCCCCGGAGGTTTCCTCCTTGCTCTGGGATTCAGAGGCTTAGTGCCTCTGAATGTGGAGATTCCCCTCAGTCACCATGGCTAGACTTATCCTCCATGAGTTTGTCTAGTCCCCTTTGAAAGCTGTTTGTTCCTGTGGCCATGACTACATCCTCTGGAAGCAGACTCCACATTTTAAACACTCTCTGTGTACAGATGTATTTCTTTTACTTTTTCCTGAATCTGCTGCCCATCAGCTTCATTGGATGCCCCCAAGTTCTAATATTTTGGGAGAGGGAGAAAAATTTCTCTTTGCCCACCCTCTGTTGCGGCAGGACATCCCTCTGCAGAAGCCGTGCTGATTTGTCGTCAGCAGGCTTTGTCCTTCGATGTAAGTAAGACACAGGCAACGCTCCCTCTAAGCTGTGGAGTCTTGTGAGCAAAAATCCTACTTTGTGAGCTACTGGCATTAAAGTTGTGAGCGAGCAGTTTGGCTCCTGCACAAATTAATTTGCTCTGGAGCCAGCCTTCCTGAGCTAAGACAAAAATGTGTGAGCTGGACGCTACAACACTGTGAGCTAGCTCACACTAACTCAGTTTAGCGGGAACACTGGACACAGGGAGGGGGAAACAAACTTGACCCGATACCTGGAATTAAGAACCACAAGAGTAAGAAAGAAGCCTGATAAAGGGCCAGTATTAAAAACCTGGTGTAAAAACCAGAAAATACCTATGTGACTATCACAGTTGGAGTGTCCCCAACAAACTGCAGTCTGCCTAACCATTGCTGATACTGTTTTTGATTACAGGTTCTACTAATATGCCTGGGACAGACGTTAGGCCGACTGGCCTGTAATTTCCTGGCTCCCCTCTGGATCCCTTTTAAAAACTGACGTAACATTTTCTACCCTCCAGTCTTGTTGGACAGCAGCTGAATTTTGTAAGGGGTTACATCTACATGCTAATTCTTAAGAACTCTTGGGTGGGTGCCTTCAGAACTTTGAGACTCGTCCTGCCCGAGGAAATGCAGCGCTGGGTCAGAGGATGCGGGCCGGAGACCAGTTCCCAGGCGGTGTCCCTGGCCGAGGGCTTCCTCCTGAGTCGGGCAGAGGACAAGCGGCAGGCAGAGCAGGTGAGGGAGCTTCATGCCGTCCGTTCAAGCTGTGACCTTTGACCTTAGCCTAAGGCCCCCCTGCCCGATATGTGTCCCTCCAGACACTTCACCAGGGCTGATAGAAACCCCCAACCCTGATTCTTGCCGCTGTGTTTGAGGCAGCTGTGTCGCTCGATGCAGGGGTGAGGATGGGCAGGGGCAAGATCCGTCTCCTTGGTCTTTCACATTCCTCCTCTTACCTGTTTCCCCCCCTGCAGTTTCAGATGTGGGGGCCGTCTGTGAAGATGGAAGTGAGGTTCTCTGAGGAGGAAGGGTCTCCTTGGGAGGAGGAGCAGAAGGCGCAGGCCCAGGAGCATTCCCAAGATGCCCTCTCTCGTGGTAAGGGTGCCTTGTACCCAGGTTTGGGCACATGGGGAATTTGTTAGATAGAAGGTTCAGGACAGGAGAAAAAAGAAATATTTATGCAGATCCCACAGAGTGGACTGCTGAGACGTAGTGCCATAAGATGTAATGGTGGCCACTCACTTGAGGGGGGAATTATACAGACTCACGGAGGGCAATTCCCTTCTTCTTCTTCTTTTTTTATGCTTTATTTATAAGTTTTTCAAAAAAAATACAATAGAAAATAAGACAGATCTTGTACAACAAGATAAAAGATTTTTGGAGTCATAGATAAGAATTACGATAATTCTTATCTATCCAAGTGTAAAAAATTTTCCATCTACATTTAAACAGTGTTTTATCTCTTCCCTATAGCATTGTAGATAGTTTGTCCATTTCTACCGCCTCTAATACTTTGTGGATTAATTCCTTCTTAGAGGGTATTCCCTCTTGTTTCCAGTATTTGGCAAACAGAATGTGTGCTGCTCTGATTATATATGTGATAACATATTTCTCTTCTACTCTATATTGATCAGGTAGCATATTTAATAAAAAGAGTTCTGGGGATAAAGGTAAATCCATCTTTAAAATTTCTGAAATAAGTTTATGTACCTTAAACCAGTAACGCTGTGTTACACTGCACCCCCACCAATTGTGATAGAACGTGCCCACGTTATTTTTACATTTCCAGCAATTTTTTGAAAGGTTTGGATAGCATTTCGCCAATTTATCTGGCGACCAATGCCACCTATGGAACATTTTATACACATTTTCCTTGTAAGGAATTGATCTGAAATATTTCACAGATTTCCATATTTTGGACCAAGTGTCTATTTCACTTCTCATAGGAACACAGGAGAATACAAGAGAGGCCATGTTGGATCAGGCACTAACTTCAAAAAAGAAATCCAAAGACACAAGGAAACTATTTCATGTGAGACCTCCTGGGATCCAGCCTTGTGTCAAATGGAGATGCACACGAGTCGAATGATGTTGCTCTTGTGTGCCTAGAAATAAACAATGCGAAAAAACTTTTCTAATATTAACTTGTGCCACAATGTAAAATAAACTCACCTTAAAGGTAAAGGTACCCTTGCTCGAAAGCTAGTCAAATCCGACTCTAGGGTTGTGGTGCTCATCTCCGTTTCAAAGCCGAAGAGCCAGCACTGTCCGAAGATGTTTCCGTGGTCATGTGGCCGGCATGACTAAACACCAAGGCGCATGGAACGCTGTTCCCTTCCCACTGAAGTGTTCCCTATTTATCTACTTGCAATTTCTTGCTTTCGAACTGCTAGGTTGGCAGGAAAACTCACTTTAGCAGAGTAAAATTCAATATAAAGAAAATACCTTCCAATTTTGGTCAGCTCTGAATGCCTCCTGTCTTGAAAGCTATGGGGTGGCTATGGGGCAGCTGCGTCTTGATGGCCCTCTCCACCCCCACACCATATGGGGAGCAAACGAGAGAGAAGAGCGGGATTTCAAGCGGAGGCTTTGTGCTCCCTTCATGCGCTGCGGGTGGTCTTGTGTCAGTTTGGAAAGTGTTTGTGGATTCTCACCTTCCGTGTCTCCAGCATCAGGACCACATCCTGCAATCCTATCTTTGTGGCTTTCTCTGCCCCGTAGCTTTTGTTCTTATGTTCTTTAGGAAGGGTATTGAAAACAAATCAGCCAATATCATAATGCCCCTATATAAATCAATGGTGTGACCTCATTTGGAATACTGTGTACAGTCCTGGTCACCACACCTTAAAAAGGATATTATAGCTTTGGAAAAAGTGCAGAAAAGGGCAACTAGAATGATAAAAGGGTTGGAACACTTTCCCTATGAGGAAAGGTTAAGGCGCTTAGGGCTCTTTAGCTTGGAGAAAAGACGACTGAGGGGTGACATGATCGAGGTTTATAAGATTAATAGGAAACAGGGATGTTGTGGAAATAAATACAACGAGCTCTAGAAAGAGGCTCTGGGCGGATGCCACTGCCTTGGACGCTCAGTGTCAATTTGCTGTGGCAACCTCAGCAGGGTATAATGACAGTGAGTCCACCATTTTCTCTAGAGTAACTGATCTCTGCTACCTAAAGAACAGTTGTAATTCTGAGTGATCTCCAGCCCTCACCTGGAGACTGGCAACAATGGTTCCCCAGAAGGGAATGGTTGGTTTGGAGGGTGAAGTCTATGGCTTTGTATGTGTCCAAGGTCCCACGCCTCCTGAAACCTCGCCTTCTCCAGGCTCCACTCCTCAAATCTCCATGAATTTCCCACCTGGAGTTGGCAACCCTATCTCCTTCCCAGTCAAACATCAACCTACCTTTATCTGCCCCTCTGACTTCAGCATTCCATCTCCTCCCCCTCCCTTCTGGAGAGGAGTCGTAATTCTGAGTGATCTCCAGCCCCTACCTGGAGACTGGCAACAATGGTTCCCCAGAAGGGAATGGTTGGTTTGGAGTGTGAAGTTTATGGCTTTGTACTTGTCTGAGGTCCCACACCTCCTGAAACCTCACCCTCATATCTCCAGGAATTTCCCACCTGGAGTTGGCAACCCTATCTCCTTCCCAACCAACAATCAACCTACTTTTATTTCCCCTTCACTCTTCAGCTTTCCACCCCCCCACACACACCCCACTCTCCCGTGCTCTGAAGCCCTGACTGCTATGTCACATTGGCTCTCATATGGGGGCCATCTCAGCAGAATATAAGGATACAGAGCCCACCATTTTCTCCAGGGGAACTGATCTCTGCCTTCTGGAAAGCAGTTGTAATTCTGAGTGATCTCTAGCCCTCACCTGGAGATTGGACACATTTTACCTCAGAACAGAATGTTAGAGGCAAAAGCCAATCAAGTAGCATATGCAAACGACCTCTGTGTTCTGAGGCAAAGGCCAATGAGGCTGCATATGCAAATAACCTATGTGTTCTGACTGGCTATTGGGGGAGGAGAGGAACAGCAAACTATTTAGAATGTTGGAGGCGAGACTCAAGCAATGCAGCCAGTGGATAGGGACAGATTCTGAGAGGCGCACCAGGGTGCCAACCAATTCCGAAGCGTGTGGAATGTTCTAGAGAAGTGCCACCACCGGCTTTTATATATAAGGGAGATGCATGGGATATAACAGGTAGAGAAAGAGGTACGTTTCTCCCTTTCTCACAATACAAGAACTCATGGGCACTCCATTAAATTGCTGAGCGGTCAGGTTAGAACAGATAAAAGGAAGTAATTCTTCACCCAAAGAGTTATTAACACTTGGAATTCACTGCCACAGGAGGTGGCGGCGGCTACAAGCATGGATGGCTTCAAAAGGGAATTAGATAAGCATATGGAGCAGAGCCACTAGATAGGGACTCTGGGGCAGGTTATGCTCTGTATTCTTGGTGCTGGGGGGGGGGCAACAGTGGGAGGGCTTCTAGTGTCCTGGCCCCACTGCTGGAACTCCTGATGGCACTGGTATTTTTGGCCACTGTGTGACACAGAGTGTTGGACTGGATGGGCCATTGGCCTGATCCAACATTGGCTTCTCTTATGTTTTTATGTAGCCGCCACTACTTCCTGTGGGATTGAATTCCACGTGTTAACTAAAATATTCCTGTCTCACACCCTGACCTGGACAGCCCAGACAAGCCAGATCCCGGAAGCTAAGCAGGGTCAACTCTGGCAAGTACTTGGATGGGAGACCTCCTTGAGATACCAGAGGTGGTATGTGGGGGCAGGCTTTATTCAGTCACCTCTCTGTATACCTTCCAGGCCCCCAGTAGGAGTCAGTGACCAGAGGTCACCATGACTTCCAGGTGCACACACACACTAGTTATTAAGAATACCAAAAATACCAAAAACTCCTATCTCACCCAACTTCTGTTAGAGGGACTCAAGGCGGCACACAAAATAAAAGTTGAGCACTTATTATTCATTTAGGAATTATTATCTATTTAGGATGCATTCTGGCTGCTCTGTCAAGACCTAAACCACGGTGTGGGCAGAGGGGCCTTAGCATCTCAAACACTGGTATTAAATACCTTTCAAATACAAATTAGCTGGGACTTCCGGTTTATGGCGATACGCTGGTGGATGCATCTCCCGGCCCTCCCGGGGATGTGATCTGCGCACCAGCAAAAAGGAAGGGGAGCGCCGGGTTGCTAATCTTTCGCCAGCGCGATGCTGAGGAATTGAGGCGCTCCTCCGCCCCGACGGTCCTGCCGCTGAGTGTCCGTATGGATCTAGAGCCACTGACCAGGACAAGCGTCAGAGATCGAGCGTTTTGAACATGTGCCGAGCGAGGTCGTATGACCAACAATGAACTGTGAGTCGGGTTAAAGCGAAAAAAGAATTTAAAAAGAAAGCTACCCCCTGGGAATGGCGAAAAAAGCGAGCGCGAGAGGGGCCCCTCCCATACGCATGAACTAAACAACGAAATACTAAGGGGGGAGTGGAAGAAAAAGCATTGAAATCTGTTTTGAGAGACTTGTGCAGATAAGCGTGTGGGCGTATTTCAGAGACTTTAGCAAGTTTTCATAAAAGTAAACAACCCATAAAGATGGCGGGGAAGAGGGCAGAGAAAGACAAACCAAGAAAAGTGAAACCAGCCAGAATCTTGAGCCCTCGACCGGAAGAGACCACCGAGTTCTCCAAAATGTTGGCAGAGTCCTTGCGCCCTCTGCTGGACCAGATGACTAACATAGAACAACAGCTGATGAATCTAAATCAGAATCTTGCAACTCAGCAGCTCCAACTGACTGAGAGTTTAAAAATAACAGAGCAA